AGGCGGGCTGGCTGGCGTGCAGAAGAGGGCACCGAGGGAACACGGAGCCATTGCTCGGTGTCCCCGAGCCGCAGTCCCGGGCAGTGCGGACGAGGCTGATACCCCGGGGGTGGGATGGAGGCTGGGGATGGCAGGGTTTACTTTCGTGGTTGGGCCTTTTCCATCTTCCTGGGGAGCTGTGTGCACAGCTCGTTCTGTGTAACACACAGTGTGTCCTGAAGCACATTGATTCTTAGCAATTGCTGGGTGTGACTGTGCCTTTTAATTTAACGTACATTCAGTGCTTGGCCCTTGTTTTCCTTGTCCAAAGCCACCGGTGATGTCTCGACAAGCAGATAATTTAGCGAGGGAACTGTTGGAGGGGGGTTGCTCTTGGTTTTCATTTTTGGGGCTATTTTTCATTAGCCCCTGCCACATGGTTGAAGGTGTTGGCGTTACCTGTGGCTGAGGCTGGCAGGAGATGCACCTCCTTGTATTATGGTGCTGACTCTTGTTGATTTTGTTCAGAGAGCTCGCAGAGCTCCTCTTCTTTCTGCCACTGCTGCTTGCACACTTCCCAACATTTTTTTCTTCCTTGTTGCATTTCTTTTTCACCCTATTGCTTCTGTCTCAAATAAAGATTGATTCCTGGCACTTACTGTGCCTGCCTTTCTCCTGTGGATTGTGCATTATGTCCAAAATGTATAGCCTGGGTGCTTGTTGTTTTTGCTATTAGGTGGAGTGCATAATCCCTGAATTTACAGGCCTTATATACCAATTCTTTCCATGTAAAGGCTAGGATAGTCTTTTTGTTGACCTGAGTGTGTCTGCATAATTGGCTTCTGTTTCTTTGCTTTTCCTGGATGATTTGGGTAGCCTTGGATGAGCTGCTTCCACTGGCTCTCAGAAACACACTTTGAGATGTTATTTTGGGTATATAATTGTTCTGAGATCCTTGTTTGGTCAGTGACTGTTTCTCTGCAAATCATTACAAATTGTTGTTAGTTATCCAAATTTAGGAGCTTTCTGAACACACAGCCTCTGCCTTTCCCGCATCTGTTTCTCCTCTGATGCAAAAATGCTTTGACACAGGGTGCTGTGAGGACCAAGACCTCACGTGCAATATATTTCAAGGTCCTTAGTGCTGTGAAAGATGAAGAGGTGATGCTCTCTTGTGGATTAGGGATTGTAGACCTGCTGGGCCATGGGAAATACTGTGCTGCCAGGAAGGTTTTTTGGAACACATTAACGTGCTTATACTGGTTCATAGTCATACTAGAGACATTATTTTTGTTCTTTCCCCTTATTTTCTTCTCTCCCCAACCACACATAAGTGTCTGTGCTTTGTTCAGCCACCTACTGTGTTTGCAAACTTCTCCTGAACCAGAAGAGGACAGTTTAGGAACTGGAAGGAGCCAGATGTGTTTGCCTTTAAGTTTAAGACTTGCAAAGGCTCCTGGCGACAGCGTAGGATGCTTCGAGCCCAGGTCAGGTCAGAGCTGGGCCCAGGTGCCGTGCTCTGTAGCAGATCAGGTTTGTTAAACATTGGAACAGCGCTGGAAACGGGCAGGTTTTGTCCCAGGGCCAGGCTGAACGTAGGTACTAATTAAAACCTGCTTATCGATAACTGGCAGCTGATGAAAAGCTGCAGCTCACAAATGCTTAGAGGCGAGCTAATAGAGACTGTGCAGAATTATAGTGCTTTCCCCGCTGATTATTTCATCCTTAATTGGTGAGGTTTTTAATTATTTAATATAATTTATTCTATTAAATGGAACAATGAAAGTTATTCTATGTCCAGACTCTCTAGTCTGCTGTCTTGTTCTCTTAATTAGTGATAGACCCAAAAATACTTCACTGGTGGATTCCTGATTGAATTATAAGGGAGGGATAAAGCCCTCCTAACTCCCCAGTCTGGCAAGCAGTGCTTCTTTTTGTCTGAACTTTTGTTTCTAGGCCTGTCTTATTGATGCTTTAACTATCAGCAGGCTCCCAGCCCAGGGGATGCAAATGGGTCTGTGAGCATAACAGTGGAGCACGGTTACTTTACAGTTAATGAGTCCGCCTCAGCTCATGGCTTGTTACTTCTGGAGGGAATGACAAGTTGAAGAGTGTCCTGTCTGCTTTACCTTCCTTAACTGCTGTGAAGACATCCAGTTAATATTAGTTGAAAGAGGGAGCTCTGATTGCTTGTTGCTCATGAAAAAAGTTACCCCAAAATGCTGAGTCTGTTTTTCAGGTATGGGCATGGTTAGAAAGTCTCTTTCCCACAGCACTATCCCTGGAAAGACTTCTACTCTCTTTATTTTGCAGGTGGGGGTTCCAACCCATTCCAGCACCTGGAGAAGAGTGCAGTCTTGCAAGAGGTAAATCCTCAGACAATCTTCTTTGTGTTCTCCTTTCTGTCTAGAGCCTCCTCTTGAGTAGGTCACTGGAGAACTTCAGCAAGGAAGTAGGGGTTTGTTGCAGTCCTGCTAGCTCTGAAAGAAATAGGCAACGCTCCTGTTAGTTCTTATTTTATTGTTGGAGGGAGGAAAGGAGAAGGTTGAAATGGTCTCTGTAATGAATTAAAGACTGTGAACTATAAATAGTAATAAAATGAACAAAATTATCTCAGAAAGCTCACCCTAAAACAGGAAGGTTGGGAAATTGGTCTTGGACACCCTGAATTTCTTGTAGATGACAGTTATGAGCAGGGTCGGAGTGGTTATTGAATAGTCTATGAATCTGCTCTGAAAAAATGCCTTTCTGTTCAACAGCAGATGAACTTCTCGATCCCCAGACCCTGTTGTTCCAGTGTTATCTGCTTGCAGTGTTGTGAATGGTGTTGGCTCCTGTTAGCCTTGCAGAGCTCATGCACATCTGTCAGAAGAGTAGTGTTTTAGCTAGCACATGATCCAACCTTGTGTGGGTGAAAGTGTGATGTGGATTTGGCTTTTAAACCTCAACTGCACTTGAATTTTCAATCCCAGGATGAGACTGTAGAACCAGCTGTTGGAAAGGGTTTCACATTTAACAGGACATTGTTGTTGTTTGTAACAGTGACCAAGACCAGACAGGACAGTGTTTCTGAGGGTGCACTGGTGTCAGTGTCTTTGTGCTTTGTTTCCAGGCACGGGTGTTTAATGAGACTCCCATAAACCCACGAAAATGTGCTCACATCCTCACCAAGATCCTGTATCTCATAAACCAGGTAAGGGAGGGAAAATGCCACCTATCTAGAGACACCTGCAGCAGGCCCAAAGCTGGTTGTGGTAACTGGGATTTTCTTCCTTCTTTCCAAACATCTTCAAGGGGGAGCACCTTGGTGTCATGGAAGCTACCGAATCCTTCTTTGCTATGACCAAGCTGTTTCAGTCCAATGATGTAAGTCTGCTTGTTGTTTTATACTTTATTTATCTAGTGAGACAAGTTGGCAACAGAGTCCTTTTCAGCCTTGAGATGTGCCTTTCTCTACAGTCAGCTTTTCTGTCCTGCCTGGAGCTCCCTGATCTGAGTGGGAAGAGTAGGATGAAAGTTTAGAAGCAGAGATCAACTTCCTGGCCCTTCCCTCTGTTTTTGAGACAGAGATTCTTCCCTCTGAATTGCTCTTTAACCCTTGAGGTTGTGCTAGGCACAGATCAAGCATATAATAAAGTAGAATACTCTATGCTTTGTGCCCAGCATTGAAAGATTGT